TGCATTGTATTATGTGTGCATTCCCTTGCCTCTTGATCAAGCATGATAGAGGTTGGGGTCCCTTATGTGTTTTGTGCATTTCATTCCATATTGAATTGCACATTCGGCTCCTTTGGCCATTATGCATCGAAATGCGTGATTGGTGGTCCGAGGGTCGAGGACTATACTCCTTTGAGTCTCAAACATGATAAGGAGGGTGGTCGTGCAAACATTGCCTTGTAAATGTATTGCTATGCTCTGTTTGTCATCTGCTGTAGCAACACAGCATTCTGCAAGAAGGTATGGCCGGTCGGCTACTTTCAGTGCCGGTCGGCTAAACATTGTTGGCCGAGAGCTTTACATTTGGTCGATGACCAATTTCCCATGGCCGATGGACGCTCAGAAAGTCCCCAAGCTGGTTCAGAAGTGTCACAAAAGTTGGCACAGTTTTCAGAGGTACAGAGCAATGTAAACAGAGGCAACATGTGACATGGCGATGGATTTCTGAGCGAAGCCGTCCGAGCATGCATGCATCCCTCTTCCCGAGGCTGTTTTTATTGTTTTTATAGCTTAGTTGATTTTCTTAATTAGTTAAGTGTTGTGTAATAATTAATTAATTTGTTAATTAGTTAATTATGTAATTTGTATTATTCTTTTGGTCTCTCTATCGAGAGAGCGCAATTGTGTAATAAGCGTGCGTGTGTGTGATGCATGTCTTCCAACCTCCACTTCTTTCTCCCTTTTACTTAACCTCTTATGATGGTTAGTTTTAGGGCACGTTTCAATTAGCATCCTTATGCTATGCATGTTTGCATCATTCATCTGTATTGCATGCATCGGGCTCGGCGCATCATACTAACTGCATTGTATTTCAATTCTAAGTTGAATACATGTATCGAATTGTCGCATCTCACATGCCATTTTAGACTAGCCGAGCCTATTCTAGTTGCATTTTGTATGTGATGCATTAGCCATCTTAACATAGACTTGGATCATACATTGATTACTAACATGTTCTTTGTTTTGGCTCAGAGTACACTGTGAGTGTTTACACTTTAGCATACTGCATGTGTGTGAGTGTTGCCATGATAGCATGCTTGCCATGAGGTTATTTGCTTAATTGATATAACTGCCTGAATGCCTGTAGGTGAAGGTTGGATTGCTTGAATTGGGACAATTCGTTGAAATCCGTGTTTTAGCCTACTCGTGAGTTGCAAACTTCAAACCATTTTTCAAACAAACGGATATGCAATGCTTTGTTCCAAATTAGGCGATCTAGTCTATACTTGTTTTGCTGTGCGCATCACATAGTAATTCTAGCTAATTAACCAGAATAAGCACACATATGTTTGCAAAACAAAATATCATGCTTAGTACAGGCCGATCTTCGGATCGGGCGAGCGGGAGTGCTCATAAATGACCTTCCCCAATCGTACCCAAGTTCCCGAGCCAAGGCAACTTTGGTGATGACGGACACGTGGCCTTACGCAACGAGTCAGAGTTTCCTAAATTCTCCCAAAACAAGATATTTAGGTGGCGACTCTGTATCTGGCAAAGCAGTCCATGTTTGGCACTTCTTTCTTAAAAATCAATTTTCCAAAACGATTTGCCAGATTTGGACTCTTTGGTAATTTATCGGTCTTGCATTGCACTTTGCAAGATTAGATTCAGAACCGTGATATTTTGAGTCTGAACTATAAAAGCATGAGGCCCTCGGGGCGTGTCTACACACATGCTTTTATTTCAGAATGTAACTTTGTGGGGGACACTATTGGCCGCACGTGCGGGAAATCCTAGGACACGTGCAGGATTGGGTAAAAATCAATCCGAAAATGGCTTCTTGACTTGGAACCCCTCATTTTCAAAATTAAACTTCAATTTCATGTAAATCAAAGCCCAAAACTCTTTAACACATGTTAAATTTCACATCCTTAGCTTCCATCAAAAATCATAACTCCAAAACAATACTCAATTTCCCATTTACAAGAACAAGGTTGAGAATCAAAACACAAAATCATAAAGTATACATGGTTGGGAGTTCCAAGCTCACTTACATGGTGAAATCCTCTTTAGCCTCTTAAGAACCATAAAACTCTTACAAGAAATCAAGTTGTGAACATAAATTCATGCTATGTACAAAGATTCAACATCTTCTTGCTTAATGAAACAAAACACATACATATAATCATATATAACCCTTGAAACTCACTCTTTAGCTTATGATCTTCAAGTATTGAGAGGGGAAATCTTACCTTAAGCCTTTAATACCACTTGTTCTTGCATAATCATGGTGAATTCAAGCTAAATCTTGGATTTTCCTCTTCATTTCTACACTTTCTCCCTTCTTCTCTTTGAGTTCTCTCTCTCCTTCATGTCTCTTCCTCTCCCTCAGATATTTTTGGCTCAAAAGTGATGAGTTCAACTTATATATATATATATATATATATAAGCTTATCACAATTAGGGAGCCAAACACACCCTTACGAATCGTACGAAATCAAATTTCAATTAAACTTCCCAGATAACTCCAAAAATCATGCTGATCATAATTATGTACTCCGTTCTGGTTTCTGAAGCCTCTAAGGCCTTCAATTTGCAGTACTAAGTTAACTACCCAAACATACGTTAACGAATCAAACAAAATAAAATTTCAATTAATTTTCTCAAATAGCTCTAAAAATTCTCATTAGCATAACCATGTACTCATTTACGGTTTCTGAACCCTTAAAAGTCAGCAATTTCAGTTCCAAGGTCGTAACTCAACAGATAATTCTTCAATCCAAACAGATGTAATTAAATTAAGGCACATTAACCCATAATTATATAAAGATAATTCCTGATACGCATTTTGGGATTGTTACATAAATGATCAATTTTTCCTTCAGTATCTTCAAAGGAATCAGAAACATCAAAATGATTAATATCAATGGGTTCATAATGATTTGTAAAATGCATCTAAATTTATTTTTCTTTTTCTTTTATTGAGATATGACAAAGATCCACCATATGTTTAGGCGTACGACAAGTATGCGACCAATGCCTTGCCATGCCACATCTGTAACAAGTATTTTCATGATTCTTGGGAGGTTTATTCTATTAACCTTTTTCATTTTCTTGTGATGTTCTAGAATTATTCCACTTCTAACAGAATGGCATGTTATTCCACTTTTGGTGGAATGGCATGGTATTTTTCTAAACATATCCACCACGGATTCAGTAATTATTTCTACCCCGGCCACGTCCAAAACCATGACCTCTCCCTCGTCCACGACTATGACATGCAACCTTATTCACTTCAGGGAATGGAGCAGAACCAGTTGGACAGGATGGATAATTTCTTAATAACAATTGATTATTTTGTTCAGTCACAAGAAGACATGAAATTAGTTCATAAAACTTTTTCATAATATTTATTTCATGATGCGTAGTATGCAAGAGTACATTATCAGCGTAAAATGTGGAGAATGTTTTTTCAAACATATCTTCTTCAGTAATTTTTTCTTCACATAATTTTAATCGGGAAATTATTTTAAATAAAGCAAAGTTGTACTCACTAACTAATTTATAATCTTGTAATCTTAGGTGCAACCAATCATAACGGGCTCTTCGGAGGATTACGGCCTTTCTGGTGCTCGTATCTCTCCTTCAAATTATTCCACAGAATTAGTGGATCTTTTACCATGAGATACTCATTTTTTACTTCTTCTTGAAGATGATGGCGAATAAATATCAGTGCCTTTGTGCGATGCTACAAGGATGCTTCATTTTCGTGTTTTATGGTATCTCCAAAATTCATTGCCTCAAGGTGAATCTCAACATCAAGAATCCATGATAAATAATTTTTTCCAGAAATGTCGAGAACTGAGAATTCCAATTTTGAAAAATTTAACATGTTTACTAAATTTAACAAAACAATATATAGTATCACGTAAATATATTAAGAAAATATAAACTTAGCTTTAGAATTTATTTATACTTACTGCAACCACCCAGTAGCTTTGTCTTCTCAGCTAGTTAGAATCTCGTGCTGATAATATATTATAAAACTAAAGAAAATAAAGAAGAAAGAGCCACAATGAAAAAAGAAATAAAGGATCACACATATAATACACAATTTCTCTATATCTTTATTACCATGCAAACTCACCTATTTATAGGTGATAAAACATTCGCTATTCACCACTATTCATCACACCATGTGGTTTATTACATGGCATACCACACTTTCCACATGATAAAACTTTTCCCTTTTTGCATTTTGACCCAAAACTCATTAAAATTCAAATTGCATCTCTTTTGATGGTTATCCAAATATTTCACGATATATATATGTATTATTAAGTTCCTTCTAGGAATTTTTTATGTTTTTTTAGGAAAAAGGATAATTCTATTGATGTCCAATAAAGGTGCAAGAAGGACAATAAAAAACGAAAGACCAACGCTAAGAGAGCATCATTACTTGTAATCACATGCTAAGCCAAGCCCCTGTAAAAGGAAAGCAACCAACATTCAAACTACCTAAGACCAGAAACATGCCCATTTACCATCCCAAAAACCACCTACACAACTAAACGAACTAGCAGATTCCACTTCAAAGCTAGGCAGTAGAAAAAAACAGAATTGAGAAATCCTTAAACCATTTGCAAATATCAAAGAATCAAAGGAGAGAAGCCATAATGATCAAAAACAACAAACCAATGCATGATCCACACTCCAATTTTTATTTTTGTCATTGTCTGTCATTACTGCTTTGGATATTTGATAAGTTCATATAACTTAGAATCCTAATTATTGTGAGTGGATGAAATGTTGTCCCCTACCCCACCAAGCCCCCAACCAAAAATAATAAATGAAAGGCTGAATTAGCCATATCAAATTTTACTCTTTTGTGCATTATAATCAACAAAGTCTTTTCAATATCCATACATTAATCACCCACATCAATTCAACTCAACAACTCTGTCCCAACTGGTACAAAACAAAGAGGGAGTAGTATGATCTGCAAGAGAGGAAGCGAGAAGGGGAGAAATTATTTTACACACTTGGTAATCTGAAACAGATACAAACGATCATATCAGACGTAAACATGGCAACCATCTGAACAAGTGGAACTTGTACACTCCCATATGAACACATCCAAAAAGCATGGTTCATAAATTACACACAAACAAAAAAAAATCAACCGAGTAGCTGCCAAGGGTAGTTAAAATTGTTACTCTTACAATATCAGTATAGATAAAGGTTGGTCCAAGAGGAAAGAAACAACAAATGATTGGGACGCAAAAGTTGAAATTTTTCCTTAAAACATAAATACTTATACATGTTCCACAGAAGTTCTTTCTCATTACCCTAGTAGAGATGATTCTTATGTGCTTCCTACAAAACTTGTGTGCATGCTACAAAACTTGTGCGCCTCCCATCTTTATAGCTTTTGTGATTGGCTGGTTCACCTATACTTCTTGGCTTTCGCCAGCTTTTTCTTCTTTTTCTTCACTGCCTTCGGTACTTTAGTCTTGCGAGCTTCCCTCTTCTCTTCTTTGACCTTCTTCTTGTTCTCTTTCCTAGCAGCTCTTTTATCAACAGGTGCCTGTGTCCCATTTTCAGGTGCAGATTCTTGCCCTTCTCGATCACTCAAGTTCTCTTCATCATCATTGTCATCGTCATCGTCGTCGTCATCATCATCATCATCATCCATTCCATTTTGCAGTCCACTATCATGCAAGTTAGAATGTCCCGCTGGATCGATAGCAGAATCTTGTTTCAGGTTCTGCTCCTGGAGATGCTGCTTTTCTACTGGAGATGGTTGCGTCATAGAAAGAGCCTCCTTGAGTCCTGTAATAGTCTGATAGTACATATTTCCAGTATCCTTGCCACTAGTAATCCGATCTATATCCTCCTCAACATTCTTCACACTATCCAGTGTTTTTGGAATAAATGACTACCAAGAGATAACAAAATAAAAATTAATAAATAAATAAAATCAAATTAAGATTTGAGTCAATAAGGCTCTTAAGACCAAGTATTCTCACATCTCAAAGTTTCCCTTGAATATATCAACATCATAGGTGTGAAATTAAACAGAACAAGGTCAAAACAAAGCCCGCTTGGCGGCAAATAAGACCATGTGGAAGGATCACTTAATCAAATTCTTAAGAAGTAAAATAATGTATTTAAAAAAAAAAGGTAAGAAAAACTCTTTTCCTACAAGATGATACTGCTGTACAGATTACCTGCACAAATACAGAGTCCGCAATTTCATCCTCCTGTGAAATCACATCCCCTCTGGCCAAAATTTTTTGTTGAACCTGAAACAAGTTTAGAAATAACACGACAAAAAATTACACGCACAGTATGAATGAAGATCTCTCGAAAGTTCAAAACTAGAGTCTTGGAAAAATATAATACCTCTTCCAAATAACTCTCCACAGATTCATCAGTAATAGAAGGATCAACTATGAAATCAAACAATTCTCGAATTGTCATAACAGCTACACCATGTTTTCTAAAGAAATCCTGCATGGCACAACATGCTCAAGTCAACAAATTGATGATTACAGGTAGCATTCTCATTCAATACAGCATCATAACTATTCCCAGGTGGAAACAACTCACTGAGATATGAACACAATCTTCACGAAGAAAATCAAGGGCATGAGGATGGTCAAGATCAACTGATTGGGAAACATCAATAATATACAAATGACCCTGACAAACATAACGAATATTGTTTAATGTTGTTCATTATTTGATATGCAATTGTCAACGGAAAAATGCAACAAAGTTCCTCACCTCAAAATATAGTATGTTGTATTCGCTTAGGTCTCCATGGACCAGCTTGCACTTCTGATATAAAGTTCGCATTACCAGAATCATCTAAAGGAGATGACGAAAAAGTTATTAACAATCATCAAACTAAGCATGATACATAACTATCCTATTTTAGAAGCCTGACATGGCATAGGAATAAATGCATCCAATATTATAAAGCATACTGCATACTACCAATTTGCAACAAAAAGGATGCGATTTCATTACAGTAAAGAATTCCTATGAGAGCCATTAATTTAGTCTCATTGTAAACACACATACACCTGCAAATGACTAAGTTCCATATATTAGGTGACCTAATGGTAATGAATCTATGTGCAGTGTCCAATGGATATGTCCAACAAGAAAGGGCATAATATATTTCTTTTTCGGCCAGGACTTCCCTCAGGATACCTTCTTCATATAATTCCATATTTGAAAATGTGAGAAGTCCATAGATCAGATCTAGGACAATTAATTAACCCACTGTCTTGGGAGGGGATTCCCTCAATAATCTGCAGATTAACAGCCTAGTAGTGGAACCCCTCCCAATCCAAAGTTCAATTTTCAAATTGTGGACTTGAGAATGTCCTGGGTAGTTTTACCTCAAAAAACAAATTATGCTAGTTGTTTTCCGAAAAACTACACAACCTGACCTAAGCCATCATGCGGCTTGCCACCTTGTTCCTTTATTAGCCTTGCAAGCTAGTAAATTTCTCAAAAAATAAGTAGCCATGTAGGCTAGTAAATTTCTGCAGCTTACTACAGATAATTAATATCCAAAGTTCAGCAACAGTGTCAGTACACACACAACAGACCTTTAATTAATGTCCCCAGATAGATATGAACAGTGAAAAGGTAATGTGAGAAACTATTAGCAACAATATGAGTACACACACGACAGACCTTCAATTAATGTCCCCAGATAGATATGAGGAGTGAAGAAGTAATGTGAGAAACTCCAAATAGTTGGAATTTAGGCTTAGCTAAATATTGAATTCATCAAAAAGATCTGGACAGACCTCCAAATAACCTTCACGTAACTTGTCAAGAGACAAAGCAGCATCTTTAAGTCGAGGTGCTGCCCAACCTGCCTTGCCTGTTGCATGCAAAATTTACAAGGAACTTCAACCACTGAGAGTTGATATCATTTTCTAAACACAAAAGCCTAGACATTCTCCAAACAAATTAATAAGAATAACAAAGATTTCTTCAAAATTGCAAAAATTCAAAGCATTTTGAGTGTCATTAGTGAAGGCATGAATAAAAGAAATGCCTCGACCTTTAACCTTCACCAACTGTTATCTCAACCGTCCGTTTCCTATAATCAAGTGAAGTTAAGGCTGTATGGACCCCAAAGATCATGCATATTGCCTAGGTGGGATTTTAGGCAATTCAGAGGCATCTGAGATTGTAAACCACAGTTAGGATCACTTCTGGTTTAAATTGACCTAGAGTGTGATCCATAGGCTAAAGATAGGTATCAGTCAACACTACTGAAGAGTTTAATAATATTGTATTAAAAAATATTTTTTTCACTCTGGCATCCATGTACCTAAAATCTACATGATAATTAGTGTATAAAACCACAATACCTATGAACTCCATGACCAAAACATGAAGCCTCAAAAGAAGAGGAGTTGGGCTTCCTGCTGCCTTTAGCCTGCAGTTCATTTCAACCATATCATCAATCAGAGAAACCATATCAGGGGTAAAAAATTTCAAAGTTCAAATACATCCATATAGGGGTGCAACTTGGGTAGGCTCAACTCGAGTAACTTGAGCCTAGCTTGAAAATTTTGAGAGTTTGGGCAACATATTTTGAATTTGGTGCAGGCTTCAGAAAAAAAAAAATTTTAGAAGCCTGAATTAAATTCGGGACGGACTTGGGCAAAGACACCAAACAACCCGAGCAACCCAAAGCTCAAATTGTATATATAAATATATAAAAATATTAAATATACAAGTAAATTATTAGTCATTAGATGATAAAAAATAATTTGAATCGTTAAATCATATTCACTATGTACATTATATATACAAATAACACAACACAAAACCTCGGAAAAAGATTGAGACCCTCAAAAAGACTCCTACAATCTACCCACAATGACATGGCATGCTTCATGTCAACTTTTGAATTGTCCTAAACTCAACCATGTAAGGCCCAACTTCCTTGTCATGTCATTGTGAGTTCTAAATTGTGAGTCTCTAGCATTCTTCTAAAGCACACTTTTCTTTTCTCACTCAGAAATGCCAAAGACCATCGCAACAGAGCATTGATTCCTCAATACTCATATCTCTCTCATCATATAAATTATTTATTTTGATATTATTAACAATTTTATCAAAAAAAAATGATAATAGAGTCTAATTTTAACAAATTAAACCCCTTAAAAAACTCAAATTTATGGGCAATTCAAGCCTACCTTAGGTCGGGCTTGGGCGAACAACCTCAAGTTGCAACTCCAAATTGGGCAAGCTTAGACAACTTCTCAACCCGATCAAACCCGCCCAAGTTGCACCCCTTCATCCATAGTTGTTATGATAAACATTTCAATATAACTAGTAGCTTTTCAAAATATTCCAATTAGCTCAAATCCATCTTGATATATTTTACCCAACTAGGGATTCTAACTTGTCTGCTCCCACATATTGGAAAAGAACAACTAAAAGTTCCAAGGTTTCATTTTCCCAAGCGACCCCAAGACAACACCCCTTTCCACAAAAGAAGCCAAAATGCTACTAGAAAAAGGTGCTAAACTCCAAACTCGAGACAATGTCAGCAAGAATATTTCCTCTAGCTCTATTCCCTCACAAATATTTGGAAAATACTTTATTGCAATTACTAGATGGATTCCATAAATAAATAAAAAATTAAAAAAAAAATTGTCTGAATAGACCACTTTCACAAGTCAAACCTAATATAGATTGAAAATTTACTTACTAGTTTATAACTTAAAAGAACAACTTTAATGGTAAACCTGAAGTAAGAAAATTCTCAAGAAAAACATTAGAGAAGTCTTAAACAACAATATACTACAACATCTATTCCAACAACTCTTATTATTATGAAATTGCTGATTGTGGGAATAGGCCAACCACATTCCTCTAATGCAAGGTACGAGCCAGGGACTTCCCCTCTTTTCAAATAACCAGTAAAGCAAGCAATTGCAAGGCATAACCAATGGAAGGTACAACCCAGGGGCTTCCTTCATAAAGAGGCATCTTTTACCAACATTTTTAACAATGAGATGGCCTTTTATTACTCCAATCAAAACTTAGGAACAATTTTGCCAGAAAACGTACAAGGAAGAAGTTTAGTGCAAACTTAAGATGATACTTCCCAGAAATGCATTTCATGTCTAAACGACAATCTGACACTATTACCCATTCCCTCTTCCATGAGAACTCTAATTGCAATATTGTTGATCACCAAAATAGTCTTTTTGTTTGTCATCATAAAAGTTAGAAAGCAAATAATATAACAAGTTAGTGGAAAGCATTTGCAAGTAATGAACAACAGAAGACAACCTTTAGCATTCAGACAAGAACGAGAAACTGCTATGGTTTGCAGCAAGGAGCATATGCAAGCGTGAACAATTGAAAAGAGCATAGAGAATTCAACAGCTCTAACATGGATTCACAGGCATAACACATCCCAAAGCCTTGAAGCCCAAGAGATGCAAAAGCAAATCAAAGAACTTTTTTTTTTTTTTTTTTTCACTCCCATTCAAGAAGAAACATCACATTATTCATATATACACATATATCACCATAAAATTATGATCTTATAACAACACAAGTTAAGAATCACCAAAGAAAAATTCTGTCCCTGAAGTTGTTAGATTAGAACCAAAAAAAAAAAAAAAAAAGAATCATGTTAGTATGACATAGGCTTGACATGTACTATCTGGAAAGTGGTACTCCGCTGCTAGCTGGAGTTGTGATGACAATACCAATAATATACAGAATGAAGGAGGCCCATTGTACAACCAGAAGCAACAATACATAAAACAACGCCTAATTAGTACACATTAATGTGTGTTTGGGAGGGGAAAGAAGAGAATATTGTTTTGGAAACACTTCCACTAAAATAGAAGCCTCTAGGCAACAAAATGTAACATAAAAACATCTAAAGATGTCCTGAAGACCAGCTCCCATAATTTCCATAAGATAACTCCAAGCCAACAGCTAGGACAGCTGACACCGCTGTTTGAACACATTTGAACTTACCAAAACACAATAAATTAAAAATCCTTAATGAGCTTCCTGGACCTACATATAGTCAATTTCTAAACTCTTCTCATACAAAAATGACATGTCACTCGAAAAGGCAGATAATCAAGAGCACATGAGAAAAAAAGAAATCTCTAAAGTCTCATCTATGCCAAGTATGTTCAAAGAAAAATAACAAAGCAAATGAAGAATGCCCATTTGAGTGGTGGAGACAGGATTACACTATCAAGATATTTCAGTTCTGCATACAAGTCAATCTCTTAAACTTAAAGAGTTTAAATATGCTCTAAAATAAAAAGACATGCTACAGTGATTGCAACTTAAAAGATCATAGAACATACTTGAATACAAGAACAGAAGTTTTGTACACTTTAATTGCCAGTTCCTGACCATCAGACTTCGTAGCATGATATACATTTGCCTGTTAAACAAATAACTCAGAATGAAGAGAAACTTGGATGCATAAGATGATTAAGACAAAAGCAGCTTGAAGGTCTTAGTGCATTACATACTTCTTTCCCAGTTGAAATACATCCATTCATATCATGAAATACTCCACGATTTAGCATTTTGAATAAGACCATGCGAGTTCTAGGATCAATTGCCTGAAAGACAAATCGATAATTTAGCTATAAAAACGATGTCCATAGATGTGACTTACACAAGCACCACAGGTATGATAAGCCATTCAAAAGCAAATAGAAAAGTGAAACAAAGAATGAGTGGGCGAACCATGAACTATGCTTGATATAATAGGCATATACAAGGAAAACATGTTATGAAAGCACGCTTGCACACATAAAAAATAGCGTAGTAGCATCAGTTAATAAAACTTTTCTATTAAACATTAAAACAAAAGGGTTAATTATCCAATTCATGTCTAAATTCTGCATTACATTAAACGCAACTAATGGTGAACCAAGATACCAAACCAAACAAAACCAAACTAAGTCTTAAATCCCATCAAATGGGGTCGGTTACATAAATCCTTCTTCTCCACGCGGCCCTATCAAAGGCCATTTCATTAGTCAAATTAAGTAGATCCATATCTCTATTTACAACGTTAACCAACGTTAATCTAGGCCTATCCTGTCCCCTAACACTTCCATCTACCGTTACAGCATCGCATCTCTTCACTACTGCATCTGTTGATCTCCGTTAAATATGACCAAACCATCTCAATCGATTTTCTCTCAATTCATCTTCTATCAGTTCTACTCTTACACATTCCCGAATACACTCATTCCTAATTATGTCTTGTCTAATCTTGCCACACATCCACCCTAGCATTCTCCTCTCAACCACACTCATCTTATTTACATGTTGTTTCTTGGTTGCCCAACACTCCATCCCATACAACATCGCTGGTCTAACCGCCATTCTATAAAACTTACCTTTAAGTCTAGTGGGTATTCGTTTATCGCACAGTACCCCAGACGCACTTCTCCACTAGCACCATCCCGCCTTAATCCTATGGGCCACATCCGCATCAATCTCCCCCGTTGTTGTGATAATCGACCCTAAATAACGAAAATGTTCACTCTTAGACAGTTCTTGATTCTCAATCTTCACTTCTCCTCTGCTTTCATTGTTACTGTTACTAAATTTACACTCCATGTACTCTGTCTTAGTTCTACTTATCTGGAATCCTTTAGATTCAAGAGCTTTTCTCCAAATCTCCAACTTTGTATTAACTCATTCTCTAGTCTCATCCACTAGCACTATATCGTCTGCAAAAAGCATACACCATGGCACGTCATCCAGGATTATTTTTGTCAACTCATCCATAACTAAAGCCAAAAGACAAGGACTTAAGGTAGATCCTTGGTGTAACCCTACAGTGATAGGAAATTCATTTGTCTCTCCAGCAGGCGATCTAATAATGGTCACCACCCTTTCATACATGTCCCTAATCACATCAATGTAATCTTTTATCACCCCTTTATTTGCTAACACCCACCATATTATATCCCGGGACAATCTATCATATGCTTTCTCAAGGTCGATAAATACCATATGAATGTCTTTTTTCTTTTCTCTATACTTTTTTATTACTCTCCTCAAAAGATAGATCGCTTCCATCGTTGACCTGCCAGGCATAAACCCAAATTGATTATCTGACACCTCCGTTATATCTCACAATCTGCGTTCTATCACCCTCTCCCACACTTTCATTATATGACATGTGGGAGCCGAAATATTGTTGGTATATGTGCAATAAAGCCGAATGACGGTATGAGGACAGTCAATGACGAAATTTGTATTCGGCTCCATCTTGGACAATCGCAAGACCGAATAGACTAATCGGCCGAAAAACCAATTGAACAAAAGCTGAATAAATAAACGTGCAATGGATTGAGGATGGGCCCGAACCTGAGGCTCAAAAAAAAAATATAAGTAGAGGAGCATCAGCCAAAAAAAGGTATGTGGGAACAAGTAAGATTAACTTGAGATATAAGCAACCAAGAGAGTATACACTGACTTATCCGTCAGAGTGCTAATTCCGGCACCCCGACCGGAGTGTTCAATCCTTTTCAGGTGACTAGCTAAGGATCAAGAGCGTCCTACAGGATTCAGAGAGTATTTTCAAACCACTTCTCCACATGACACATTAGCTTGATTCCTCTATAGTTGTTGCAATTATGGACATCACATTTATTCTTATAGATTGAAACTAAAATACTCTTCCTCCACTCATCTGGCATGTTCCTAGTCAATAAAATTTTGCTAAACAACCTAGTCAACCAAGCAACCCCCTTTTTACCCAAACACTTCCAAGCTTCAATAAGGATATCATCTGGTCCTAAAGCCCTATTTGATTTTATCTTCTTAAGTACAATCTCCACTTCAAAGTTCATAATCCTGCAATAGAAACTATAATCTTGATTTATCATGTTATTGGCTATTTTTTCCCCTATTGTCGTACCTCCATGTTCTGCATTTAATAGTTTCTCAAAATAGTTCTTCAATCTTTCCTTAATCTCTCCATCCCTCACCAATACCTTATAATCCTCACTCTTGATGCACTTGACTTGATTAAAATCTCTTGTTTTCCTCTCCCGCATCTTAGCAAGTTTGTATACCCCCTTCTCTCCCTCCTTACCATCTAGTTTAGTGTATAGATCATCATAAGCTGTCAACTTAGCCTCTCTCACTACTTTTTTTACCTCCTTATTAGCCAATCTATAACACTTAAGGTTTTTCTCAGTTCTATCATTTTGCCACTTTTTAAAACACTCTTTTTTTGCCTTAACTACCGCTTGAACCTCTTCCCTCCACCACCAAGTTTTCCTAGAGCTGGGTCCCGTTCCTTTCGACTCTCCAAGCACTTCCCTTGAGACTCTCCTCATACAATTGGCCATCGAGTTCCACATCTAATTTATCCCTTTTTAGGTCCCACCATCTCGTCCTATGATGCCCACCATCCTTCCTAGCTTGGTATTGCCCTCTAAAACATAAATCTAGTACCAAAATCCTATGTTTGGAGGTCAGGCTCTCTCCAGGAATCACCTTATAATCATTGCATTTTAGGCAATCCACTTTTCTTACTAAGAAGTAATCTATTTGATTCTTAACTGACCCACTCTTAAAGATTATCTAATGCTCCTTCCTCTTTTTATACATAGTATTGACCACCACCAAGTCAGAAGTCAACGCAAAATCTAAAATACTCTCTTCAGCCTCATTTCTATCACCAAAACCGTATCCACCATACACCCTTTCATAGCCTAGTTTATCTATGCCTACATGGCCATTAAAATCTCCACCTATAACCAGGTTCTCTGCTACGGGTATCTCCTATAAGATCTCATCCGTTTGCTCCCAAAAAACCCTCTTAGTCTGATCATCTAATCCTACTTGAGGGACAATGCACCAATAACGCTCACTATATTCCCTCCAATAACTAGTTTAACTAACATAATCCTATCCCCTTTTCTAATGACCGCCACTACATTCTCCACAAAACCTTTGACAATTAAGATTCCTACCCGATTCCTGCGTCTATCCTTACCACTATAATACAGTTTAAAACCGGTATCCTCAATTTCCCTAGCCTTCTCACCCGTCCACTTAGTTTTCTTGTACGCAAGTTATACCAACTCTCCTTCTAATCATAACATCTACCAACTCCATCGTCTTACCAGTTAAGGTTCCTATATTCCAAGTGGCTACCCTAAACCTATAGTCTTGGACTAGTTTCTTTACCTGCGCTCGTCCAGAAAAACGCAGGAACCTTTACCCATTTTTCACTGCACCCAGGCGTCGATGCGGCGCCCCTTGCTTCGAAACATCCGAAGGCAAGCACAACGCGTCATTTAAGGGTAACGACCTAGCATTCAAAATCTATATATACATAATACATTACATTCATCACCGGGGGTGTAGATGCATCGTGCATACAAAAAACAGATGCAAGGATGATAAATCAAATAATTACACAAAATATAATCAGCCTAACAGTGATAATTGTTAAAAACAAAAGAAAAAAAATTACAATCCCAAAAAAGAAAAAAAGAAAATTAAGAAGTCAGATTGAAATCATATGATTGCATAGGAATGAAGGATGCAAATGACATCAATTGTTATTAACCTGCTCAACGGTTGCACGGTCTGCTTTCTCTGTAGTTCTAGTTTTACCAATGGCCATCTCCCGAACACTTCCACGAATTGCAGTTGTCACAGAGTTAGACATGCCCACATCCAGCCTCCCTTCCCACTCCTGCACCATCAAGTAACTTGTAAGAAGCCACAATACACTGAAGCAAACACACACTCATGAAGTTAAATTAAAATAGCAATATCAAAATTTGCTATTATCCATGTGACTTGCTCCCAATAACTAGGGGCATAATAGATCAGAATTACCAACTCAATCGTAACAACGGCAAATAAAATTAAATAAATAAAGATATTAACTCCATTGGTGCCTACAGAATCTATCACACTGTTTCAACAGATCCATGTAAAACTATTTGCATAACATATTTTAACCACCTTTCAGAAAATAACTCCTTCGACAACCTTTCTAGACTTTGAATTGTTCCTCAAAAATTAAGGGTTGTTTGGGATGACCTAAATAAGTACCCTTTTTGTCTTTTTAAGAAAAGATGTGCAGAAAAGTAGAGAAGTGATGTGATGAAAAAAAGATAAAAAGATAAAAAGCTGAATTATTTTGCAAATGCCAAACTTGGCCTTAATAAGCATACCAGACTATAAATGCTAAGTTGTAGTGGGAACCCTAAAATGATACTCACCTATACTCAAGTTTGAGATAAATCAATATCCTAGCCCTCCAATTGGTTGCTAGTAGGAGTAAGGAAAACAAGATTAAACAAATTTTCAAAAAGCAAGCCTTGCGTCTTTCCAGTTATAAAAAATAGGAAGCTCACCTCCACTACACCAAACAGTTTACAAACCACAATTAACTGGAAGTTTCTATTTTCCTGTGATAAAGAATGAGGATTCTAAGGTTAAAGGATTATAATTTCTTTTCTTCTCTTACATTTTCTCAACACCAAAATAGAGCTCCTGCAAAACATATGGAGAGTTATTAATGAACGAGTAGGTATTTGTATACCTCTAAAGGAGAAGCTCTGATGTGATTTGAGAACTTTTGGTTCCGATTTGAGAGAGGCTGAAGCGAAGATGTATTGAGGCGAGAATGAAGTCCTCCATGAGCATTGGGACGCCTTGTTTGGAGAGTAAAAGCTCCCTCTACGGCTTCATCATCATCCTTGGAGTCCAAGTAGTCCAAAGCATCTCCAATTTCAGAGTCTGATGACCATGAAAGGTCTTCCTCTTCTTCTTCATCTTCAATTTCTTCAACTATCACAGCCCCTTCTTCCGCTGCTTTTTCTACGACTATTGACATCCTTACCACATCAAAAGAGCTCCTGGTTACTTTTTCGCAAACTTTCTTTTCCTCGTTGTGTTGAAAGAAAAGCTTTCCACTTTCCAATTTGAAAATCTGCATTTCATGTAAAATCAAACATCTTCTGGAAGCTTATACAGTTGCAGAGACAGTTGATACCTTAATAATGAAGCAATAAATCCAAGGATATTCCCAGGGTATCTTCTCTATTAACAAATAGTGTCTTATCTTATGACAAGAAAGATCACTGTAAAATCCAGATTATCAAAATGAACTTATATGATACAAAAGCTATTTCTGTCCCATTTGATTCATGTGATATACATGTCTATTTGTGTGTGCGTACATGTGTTAGGTTTTGTATGGTACAGAAGGGTAATGTTTTTAAAAAATGCATTAAATTCTCGATGTAAGGAATTTTACACTGAAGTATTTTTCCATGTAAAACTTTTTACTTGAATAAAAAATTCATTTTATTTTCTGGTGTTGGCTAGCAAAAGTAGCATTCATTTTGCAAGGTTCTGTAATTGACTCATACTGTCAGAGTTTCAAACACATGGCATACAGGTCAAAATGACGGTACACTTTCATGTTTTGATTGAAAGTAAAACCATCAAACTTTCAAATTATATGTAAAAACAAAATTTTGGAACATTAATTGTATTGCTTCAATAAAAATCAATTTGTAAAACCCTGAAGAAAAAAGAATTCCTGTTTTCGAGTCATTTTGTAAAATTCCAAAAAATTTAGATAAATCTACATTTAAAAACAATTCAAAATCCAATGGTGTCAATTGAAAACAAACCACTGACCAATTGAAACCCAATAAACCAAACCAAACCAAACCAAGTCAAACTTTAAGTCCCATCAAATGGAGTCAGCTATATAAATCCTTCTTCTCCAAGCGGCCCTATCAAAGGCCATTTTTTTAGTCAAATTAAGTAGATCCATATCTCTATTTACAACACTAGCCAACGTTAATCTAAGCCTACCTCGTCCCCTAACACTTCCACCTACCGTTACAGCATCGCATCTCTTCACTACTGCCTCTGTTGGTCTCCATTAAATATGACCAAACCATCTCAATCGATTTTCTCTCAACTTATCTTCTATCGGTGCTACTCCTACCCATTCCCGAATATATTCATTTCTAATTTTGTTTTGTCTTGTCTTGTCTAGTCTTGCTACACATCCACCTTAGCATCCTCATCTCAGCCACACTCATCTTATCTACATATTGTTTCATGGTTGCCCAACACTCCATCCCATACAACATCGCTGATCTAATAGCCATTCTATAGAACTTACCTTTTAATCTAGTGGGTATTCGTTTATCGCACAGTACCCCCGACGCACTTCTCCACTTACATCATCCCGCCTTAATCCTATGGGCCACATCCGCATCAATCTCCCCCGCTATTGTGATAATCGACCCTGGATAACAAAAATATTATCTCTTAGGCAGTTCTTGGTTCTCAATCTTCACTTATCCTCTGCTTTCATTGTTACTGTTACTAAATTTACACTCAATGTACTCTGTCTTAGTTCTGCTTATCCAGAATGGATATTGCATATCAACAAATAGCAACATACGAAGATCAGTGACTAAATTCCCATGATAATTTTAAAGCTAAGAGAAAATATCAACTTATCAATAATTGGTCAAACACAAGAGAGTACTTGAAGATCATTGAGGTTTTTGGCTGCCTCATATATGTGACTTGGATAGAAAAAATAAAACATTTCTAGAAATCTAATAAAAACAACTGAATTCCATTAGAAAGGAATATCTTAAGATAATTATAAATGACGGTTAGTCTCTTGAAATCCAAGATTGGCACCATAAATAGTCAGGAATAATTTTAAAGCAAATAAGTCAAAAATAAATAAATAGGGTAAATTACACTTTAACTCCCTGCGGTTGGCCCAAAAAGCATGGAACCCCCTATAGTTTTATTTATACACTTAAACCCCTAGACTTAACACCAAACTGTAATTTCTAACAGATCCGTTTCTTTAAACAGAGCATGGGTTTCACGAGCATAAAAGTGTAGTGCAACGCTATGTAGCACTTTCTCCCACCAAAAACGTTACACTCTTGGACCAAAACACCCCTTCTTTCTCCCCCATTATATAAATATGCAGCACCATCACCTTCCATGCAAACCCACCACCATCACCTTTTATTTCTGCTCTCATCTCACTACCATTACCTTCCATGGAAAATCACAACCAACCAACATTACCACCATCACCTTCCATGCGAAACAACAACTAACCAACACCACCACCAATACCAACACCATTTTTGCGCTCTCTACAAAATAGTTCAAACTCACTTTCTCTTTTCTTCTTATATTTCTTATCATCACCACTTCTCTCTCTAAAAATTATACTTTCTCCTTATGATTCAAATTAGTAACACACCCAATCCATGGAGTTCAACAATTAACAAGTGTAAACATTTAGGTAGCATTTGGTAGGGTTTTAGAATTATGATTTGATAATAGAGTTGTATTTTGAGTTTATGAGTTTTGGAATTATGATTTAAAAAGAGAAAATTTGTTTGGTTATGAGTTTTAGAAAGAATTTTGAATTTAGTGTTGAATTGAGTTTTGAATTTTTGATGTGACATATGAAATGAGAAAAGTTGTTCCGGTCAACCGACACAATTGTACTGTTCCGGTCAACCGGCCAGACATCTAGGAGGATGTCTAGGTGAACGACCGAGTAGACCAAAAATTCAAAAAATGTCTGGTTTACCAAACATGTTGTCTAAATGTGTTTTGAAATTGATTTGGAAACATGATTTGAAAACTCTTGCCAAAAATAGGATTAGAATGTAAGGGTAGAATTAGGTTGCGTTTGGTGAAATTTTAGAATTATGATTTGAGAATAGAGTTGTATTTTGAATTTGTGAGTTTTGAAATTATGATTTGAAAAGAGAAAATTTGTTTGGTTATGAGTTTTGAAAAAAGTTTTCAATTGAGTTTTAAATTTTTAATGTGACATATGAAATGAAAAAAATTGTTTAGTTATGAGTTTTGAAAAGAGTTTTAAAAACTTAATTCAAAAACTTATAACTCATAACTAAACACACAACTCAAAACTCTATTGAAAATTATATTCAAAATTCATACCCAAACTCTTTTTAAAATTCAATTCAAAAAAAATAATGTCATTTTAGTCTAAAAAAATAATTTTTATATTTGAAAAATATCAAAAACAAATATTTTTTTTCCAAATAGCAGGTGGCAATTGGTAATTGCCAAAAAAAAAAAAAAAAAGTACTGTTCCGATCAATCGGCCGAACATCAGGGGGATGTCCGGGAGGACGACCCAAAGCGCAAATTCAAAAATCAAAAACCCACACTGCCAAATATGCATTGGAATGTGTTTTCAAATGTGATGTTGGAATTAATTTATGAAAACTTCAACCAAATATAGAATTGGAATGTAGGGGTAGAATTATAATTTGAAAGCTATACCAAACACGGCCTTAGTTTTGGAAAGTTTTACCAAACACAGTCTTAGATTTTTGAAATAGCATTGATGGAATTCATAATAACAAAACCCACTTTATCTTCTCCAAATCGCATGCACTCACGAACATACCAAAACATATCAGATTTTCATATTCAAACATACCACTTCAACCCCTTGTATCTACTTCGTCATAACTCCGTTTTGCCTCATTTTTGCGTCGTTGGATTCACCTTACGGCCTAATTTTCATATCACTCCTCACATGCCTCATTCCGCTTCTTTTCACATGCTTTCGAATCTTTGAAAGTTGACCAAAAATAAGATTTTTCTTCCCGTTTCCGACATTTCTTCAACCCATCTTTCGGACTCCATAATTTTCTCAATTCTTAACGGTTTTACGCCGTTCTTTCACCAATCTCTTCACCTTGCTTCATACTTCATCCTACGCCACCTTGTTTTCTCGCTTCTTCCTCAAATGGGTAGTTTCGACATACCGAAATTTGTCCAAAAACCAACTTCACACATTCCAAAGAAACATCTCCAAATCTATTTCTTTCTTTTTCATCATCCTCCCACTTCTGCTGCTTCATCTATAGCTCTTTGTGAAGGGTGGTTCTTGGTTTTGACAAAGCTGGGCAATGGTGGTCATGACGGTCCAGTAGTGACGACGGAGCTCGCGGTAATGGTGGTCGTGGAGCTTGATGGTAGTGGTTATGAAAATGGGTGAAGGTAGATTTTGTGTTGAAAGGCGATGGTGATGAGGGTGGTCACAATGAGAGAGAGACAGAGAAAGAGAAAGATACACGAAGCAATACAAATGAAAAGACTGAGTGTAAAATATCTAGGGACATTTATGACTTTTTATTACTTCAGTTACGTCCGACCGAAATTACAGTTTGGTATTAAGTTTAGGGGGTTTAATTGTTACAAATAAAACTACAAGGAGGCTCCGTATTTTTTGGGCAAACCACATGGGGGTTAAAGTGTAATTTACCCAAATAAATAACACATCAATAATAATGGGTATTCTTCAAAAATCCACCAATTGGAATTTAGAACCCAGTACAGCTCAAAAACTAACCGTCCAAAACAAGAAGCTAAATTAGTAATTAAAATCCATAAATTAGGTTCCTCAATAAAATCAAGAATTTTGAGAAACATACATAAAACAGGATATGAAAATTCAGCTAGAAATATACTTCCAGAGTTCTTAGACAGCTATCACAATTATAGAAGCACCGTACCCATAATGCACAAAACCCCAACTATCACAATTACATAAGCATCATACATATAACTATCACAATTACAGCTGAAAAACTAACCATCCAAAACGACTAGATAGACATAACAAGAAGCTAAATTAGAAATCAAAACCAATTAAAACCCATAAATTAAGTTCCTAATTACATAAAACACTGGGTGCTCACAGATTGGTTTTGAGCGGTTCGAACGGCTGGTTGGACCCATGAGTCCAATGGCCTGCGGTTTGGGAAAAGTGAACCTACAATCGCCCAGAGTATAGTTTACGGTTTGTGCAAGTAGGGTTCGCGAGCAGTTTGCAAATTGCACTTTTTCCTCACAAAATTTATTTTTGGGCCTTTCCCCCCATTTGCTAAATATTCTTTTGGGCCACAAAAAAATGTACATAAATAATTCTAAGTTATATATTATGAGCAAATTTGAAAAATGAATTCTTTGTTAATTTTTATTCTTTACGTAATCTTTTTTAGACTTGTGTATTGTCCACATCATTCAAAAACATAAATAATTAATAAACTATTACCTTAGAACATTCCCCAATGAAGATCAAACACTCAATAACAGCAAAAATCCAAGACTGTGTTACCTACAATTAGAGAGTCAATCCAAATAAACCCTAAAATAAACTAAACTTGCCCTCCTCAATCCACAATCAGTGCCCTGGTCCAATTTGTCTGAAATTCCGAAATTTGAGACCTTCCCAGTGATCATTGATCCGAATCAACTTTTTTTTGTATAAAATAAAAGATTTTGATCGAATCAACTCTTTCTTTGCTTTCATGACAGAACCAAAGGAAAGGAGGCGAACTGACCTCAACGAGTGAGAGAGATGAGAGGCTACTCTGCTCCTTGCCAAAGGTGTTGCAGCCGCCGGCCGCCGCGCACTGCCGATTGCCGGTCGCCACACACACACACAGACGGGAGAGCGAGAGAACGAGAGTGAGAGGAGAGGCTGCTGAGAGAAGAGAAGATTAGGGTTTAGAAGCAAAAAATATATAATCTGATCTGACGGTCCAAAATTCAAGACTCAGAAGCCAGAACAAACCATTTCACCCAAAAAAACAAACTAATAAAATAAAGTGGATGAGCAAGCACGAGTAAATACACACAAAACAAATCACACTCCCAAAAAGAAAATCTTCCGAGAAGCTAATACGTTTATATATATATATATAAATGCATACATACCCGAGAGTGAATCGAAGAAGCTAATACGTTTCTGAGAGTGCAGGAAGAACTTTTATAAATCGACCATTGAAGTAGAGAAAGAGTGCGAGAGAGAACCACACGAAATCACAGAACTCACTCTCTCTCATAAACCCTAACGGAGAAACCCCCAAGCACGTTGGGTGTCTAACGGGTCGGGTCTTATTGTTCAACCGGTTTAAATCCATTAATAAGCCTACACCACCTTTGTTGAGGAATAATTTAGGGTTTTTTAGGGCCAGTCCCTAAAGTGAAATTTGGGATTATTTAGCAAACTTGTTAAAAGTTAATTTTTTATTTTTAGTTTATTTGAGGTCATATTATTTTTTATATTTTTTATCTATATAAAGATTAAAAAAAAAGAAAATCAATTTTTAACCAACTTTTCAAATTATCTCATTAAATAAGTTAATAAGACCAAATGTCACATCTAAATCATAATTATTTCACTTTTTCTTTTACAAAAAAATTTAAAAAGTCAAAAAAATAAATTCCAAACAAAACTAATTTAACAAAGCTAAATTAATTAAAAAACCAAAAAATTAGACTAACAAAGGTTCATCCCAAACAAACAATACCATGTTTTTCAGCTAAACATGATTTATGTGGTGTTTTAGGAAGTTGATAAAAAAATGATTTTTTAATTTTTTAGCTTTTTTGATGACTTTTTTGACAAAAAAACTGGATTGTTTTAAGTAAAAAAGCTGACTTTTTTGACTAAAAAAACTAAAAAGTAAAAAAACTAACTTTTTACCATTGTTCCCAAAAAACCCTATGTAAACTGAGCCAAGGTTCTCTCCTTGCAGCCTTGTACTTGCGTCCGTCCTTGCAGGCGTTCGGGTCTACTTTTAGGCCTAATTTTGATAATCCGAACCGTTCATATTTTATGATTTATTCAGTATATCATACCTGTAAAAAATCAAGTTGATCGGATATCAGAAAGCATGTGTTCGAAAAACTCATGGCCCGGTGTTTCGAAGAGAGGGAGAAACATAGGGACATGGCCCGGTGTTTCGAAGAGAGGGAGAAACATAGGGACATGGCCCGGTGTTTCGAAGAGAGGGAGAAACATAGGGACATGGCCCGGTGTTTCGAAGAGAGGGAGAAACATAGGGACATGGCCCGGTGTTTCGAAGAGAGGGAGAAACATAGGGACATGGCCCGGTGTTTCGAAGAGAGGGAGAAACATAGGGACATGGCCCGGTGTTTCGAAGAGAGGGAGAAACATAGGGACATGGCCCGGTGTTTCGAAGAGAGGGAGAAACATAGGGACATGTCCCGGTGCTTCGGAAAGAGGGAGAAACATAGGGACATGTCTCGGTGTTTCGAAAAGAGAGAGCATGCATAACAATGTGGTGGAACGTGCGTGACGACGCATGTGAAGAGTGCATAACAATGCAACTGAAAAGTGCATACATATTCTGTGCACAATAATCAATGCATATTCGAGGCAATATGCTCAATGAAGAAATGCGCGTCTTGACAAGACCGATTTAGTCGCGATCTCCGATTTACCTCTCGGAGGGGTTACAATATATTTCAAAAAGGATACACCTTGTGCATGCGAACTAACGATGAGCTATGCATCGAAGACATGAGTTGAAACTTCCGCAGAAACATTTTGAACTGAAAAGTGGGTTCTTCATGTAGAAGCCACGAATGCCGCTTTCCTTCTTCATCGTATTCACAACTTTCCATATTCTCCAACGAGGTGACAGGCTAGGTTGGTTCAGGATCCAAAATTGAGGCGCATACATGCTATCTCAACCTATGGAGCTTCCATACAGATTTCAAGCGGGGGATACACCCCTGGGTATTTAAACTAGACTTCAGTCTCGAAAATCTCGAACCTTTGCATTCTAGGCAACAACCATTCGAACTCTAGTTTCCACCGTCGCAGTTAGTCTCCTAGGAACTCATTACGAACACAGCTAAGATGCTCCCGGCATGGGACTGATACTCAGGGAGAGCACTTCTGATTGCCATTCTGGCTTTGAAGCAGGCTTGAACTTGAGCTTGAGGTAGAGACACGCTTATACTTCGGAGCTTTGACAAGGCCTGAAGAGGCGTATCCAGAATACAATCACGGAATTTGAAACAAACTCAGATGCTCTAATTTTCCCTCTTTTCTTGTGCTTTGTAGTCTGGAACCTATGTAGCTTCAGATAGGTCCTGGTTTTACTGTTTTCATATGACTTGGGTTGAACCCCGCGATTTTATGAAAGAACAAATCCTGTTTTGCACAAATGTGGAGAATTGCACAGCACTCTGAGCACAAAACGATTTTTTGAAATTAAGAAATGAGTTCTTAACCAGGTATTAAGCCTACGAATGAACACAACACACCACGACTCAACAACAGAAAAACAAAGGTAAACAACCTAAACACATCGAGAAACACTCGAGGCAACTCAAAACAAGAATCGAAACAAAACAGCACACACGACACTCAGACATGTTCCGATGGCAAGAGACCTCTCGGTTCACGAGGAGCCAGTTTCTTTGGGTATTGTTTCCCACCCCTTTCTCATTTGTGATTCTCACATCCCTCGGCCCTCAGGCTCTGTTTTTCTGAAAAGCCCTTGCCTCACTTTTCTCTCAGCGCACATCTCTCTATTCTTCAATCTCTCATTTTTTATCCCTCCCCTGGGTGGTTGATGGATAAACAAGAAATTGCGGGTTCTTGCCCCTAGAATTCTGCTAGATTCTTCTTCTTCTGCTCACAACAGTGAACTTTCCCACAGAGGGGTTGCGCTACAACTGGGTGTGTAGCAAATCTGTAACTGACATCAGTTGATGATGCCCTTGGTCAATTCGGATGTGATCAGACCTGTCCAGATGAGAGAGTGGACTATCTTGATCCATTCCAGTTTGTGCTTCGTACTTGGCTTGATACCTCGCTGCTCAGAGGATAAGAGAGCTTTCAGCCCTTTGTTGTTAGCTTCAGTTGTCCCCTTTTCTGGTAGGTAAAGTGCCCTTTTTGGCAAGTATGTTGACAATGGGGAAAAGACAGAACACCTGACTCAACTGTGCCTCTAGTTCATCATTTTGACCATTTTTTGTTTTGGCTTCCTACTAAAACAGTTTTGACCAATATGAGAGTTAGATTAACATACTTGTTCGATTTTTGATTCAAAATCATGCAAGCTAGGTTGTGAGCACTGAAAATTTTCCTTTTTTGGGTCCAAGAAATGGTCGAGTTTTGGAAAAATAGAGCAATTTTCGAGAAAATTAGTCAACCTCAGTAAAAATTCTCAAAAACTATTTTTACAAATGGTCACTACTCGACCAACATAGAATTTATTCTTGCAATGCACAACCTCAGATCCAAAACAATGAAAAATTACCCCTTATCTAAATGGCACTGCACGGCAACGGAAAGTTGCCCCTTGTCTGAATGGCATCACAGCGCACTGTAATCAGTCCTCAAAGTGACGATCACAACCGAACTCTCGGATACAAAAAAGACAAAAATGATCAGAATCATTACATGGACACAATCGATTTGGAAGTGTTTATTGCTAGACTTCAGAATGAAGTTGCCTACGTATCCCAAGCATGGGAATCAAGCCTGACGTAGTTCCGGGTTAAGGTACACTCGGGTATTTAACGTCTCCTTTTATGCTCTGACTTTTGCCAAAGCCGCCCTTCCGAGTTTTCAACCTTGCGAGCTCTGTTTTTCTTTTCTTTTTATTTCTTTTCATTTCTTTTTCTTCATTTCTTTTTTGTTCTTTTTGCTTTTCTTTTCACCAACGGTTTTAAATTATGTTCACCAACGGCTATGTTTTCAAAATTGTTTGGAAGGGAAAAAGAAAACTGTTCCATGTGATACGGGCAGAAACTGTTTGAAACAGTTTTGCACCTGTTCACTACATATTTTGTACCTGTTCGGGTCATTTGTTTGCCTATAAATACAATTCATTCCAGCAGTGTTTGAACACTCGAAATTCAGTCTGCAATTCTTGCTTTTGCTGTCCAGATTTTGCTCTAGTGCATTTATTCTTCATATATTAGTTTTAGATTAAATAATCAGAGAGTTAGAACACAGGTTTGGTTTGCCGAACAATTTGTTTTGGAGTGCTACTACAAATTGGTTAAGATCATTGTATCCTGGGAGATAGACGCCACTCAACAGTAAGCACTGTAGCGGGGCGAATCTCTCTTAAGGACAGAGTGTCACACACTCGACTTGGTCTTTTAATTTTTATTTGGTTCAACAAAATAAATTCTGTAAGTTTTATTTTATTTTGTTTGGCTTTGTTTCAATTTATTTTATTTACACAGAAGATTATTCCAACAATTTCTTTATGACTTTTCTTATTCCATTCATAGATACATATTGTTACCCAAAAAGCAATCTAAGAGGAGAGTGAATTAGGTTTCTACAAACTAAAATTAATAATATCCTAATAAAAATTATAACTAGTACAACAGATAAATATAGCTAATGAAATGAAGATGACTTGATCAGGCACAAAGATAAAATATCAGTGAAGTAGCTAAACAAAACTGCAGTGAATGATTTTGACTTAACAGATTTTGATATAGCTAAATAAGCAATTAACACTCAATGAAAGGTGATAACAAATAGCTATATGAGGTAAGTTAAGTGATTTGATATTTTGCACAATAGTAGGAACTATTTCTAACAACTATATCAGTGAAAGAATTTTAACACAGAGTTTATAAAATCAAGTGAACTAGATAGCACAAAAATCATATAGCTATATTAGTTTAATAGATTAGGTGTTTAGCACAATA